ATGAAAACTTCCATAGAAATTATTTTTTTATATATGTTTGCTTGAGGGATTCAATAAAACAAATGGAACAGATCATATTGAATACAGAGGCATCAAATTGTGTTTAGTTGTTTGTGGGATGTGCATGAAATGGGCCAAATTCATTAAAGTTTAAAGATATTTTGATACATGACTTTAATATATTTCTGTTTCTCACTTTAAATTCTGCAATAAGTAATTTTACTGGGATAAAAATATAGAAAACTGCTACATGTTTTGAAGAAATGGAAACTGTGAATATTTATGCCTTTCTTTTATTATACATATTCAGCATTTGTCAGAATAATAAAGCAGACTGTTATTCTTTTGACTTCATCTGGATAAATCTTTTAATGTAAAAGTTGGCTCTTGTTTTCACATAAACAACACTTGAATACCCTAGTCTTATTAAGGCTTTTAAGAGAAAGATCCCCAGTAGGGATTATGTGACATCGTCTTCCAGGTGGCGTATGTCTCAGGAAGTGCTTGTGATTGCAGGTTGTTGTTTGTCCTTTTAGTAAGATATACAAACTGAGAAAGGCAGGAGCAAAGAGTGCAAGTTTGTACCTGCTCTTTTGCTTCCTACTAACAGATCAGCTGCAGTCAGGCTTTTAAGGATTGGATTTAATGATTTAACTCCAAGGGCATGAACCAAAGAACAATTGCATCTCTTGAAAGTATGTGGAAGGATTGGCTGTTCATATGTATTAGCTGATCCATTATAACTGTTTTGTCTGCCTACTACTATCCTGTGATAACTGAAGCTAAATTGCAATGATGTACTCCTGAATAACAGAAATGGTAAATTACTGTGATGTAACTTTACTTACTGTGGGATAGAACAGACAGACAAAACAGTTTCTCATAGTTCAACAGAATTTGCTGTAAGTCTGTGTCCCTCCCTCATTTTCAGTCAGTGCAGTTGTTTTGTCTGCTTGAACCCAACATGAATCTTTTCCTGTTGTGGCTCCTCACTGAGGTTCACATGACAGCAACAATCTACAGGTGTCCTGACAATAGGTTATAGCAGGAGGAGTGGCAACCTTTATTTTTAAAAATTCCTTTTTATTGCTGTAATAGTGAATATGAATATTTTTAATGATTCATAGATTCATAGATGCTAGGGTTGGAAGGGACTTTGGCAGATCATCGAGTCCAACCCACTGCCTAGGCAGGAAAGAGTGCTGGGGTCAGATGATGCCTATCCAGCCTTCTCTTAAAGTCCCCCAAGGTAGAGGAGAGCACCATCTCCCTTGGAAACCCATTCCAAATTTTGGCC